CATCATTTGGAACAAAATTCTGCACAGCTCAGTAAGAGAAGTGGGCAAACATACCTTCTGCCTCTCATGGAGGGAGATGTGAGTGCATCCTAGCACCCTGCCTAGGGTTAGAGGTCTTAAAAAAGGAGGGAGCTGTTTCCAGCCATTTCACTGTTGTGTAACAACGGTTTTGACCTGCATTAGCAGAAGAGAAAACACATGCAGGTTTCACTTAGGTAGGAAAAAAAAGATTGCTGGCTTCGGAGATGACACCAGCAAGTCTCCATGGTATGCAGACTGTATCCTAGAGAAGATTGTTCACAAAAACAATACAGGAACTGAGGCTACCTATCTTAGGAAACAAATTTATGGCCCTAGATGTGTTCAATTTAATTTAAGGACTTAAGAGCACAGTTGATTTTTGTTCCCTGTGCAGAGAAGAGAACGAGACAGATACGTCCATAAAGTGATTCAAGCTCCAACTGAGCCATGATGTGCCAGTTTATGGCCACTGACTGTATGCAACCCAGCCTCTGTACTGAAGTCTTAATGTGAATGCCCCTTTTCCTTTTCCAGTACCCAGGAGAGCAGGTGTTTACGTAATACTCAAGAGATTTGCAAGTGCCAGGGAAAGAATGTCTTTCTGTTATGCAGTTTTTCTCTCTGCTGAAGGTGTCTCGCTGGATGGGTGAGAGACTGATCATCATTCTTGGCAAGCCAGGGCCTAATCCAGCCACCCCTTGTCTTCAGGACAAGATCTGTATGAGCAGCCTCTGCAGCTGGCCTGAGCTGACTGTTGGCAGATGGGTACCAAACACTTGCCTTTTTCTCCCTTCTCTTTGGAACGCCCTAGCTTCACCAAGCTTGTTTGACACCATCCTTTTTTGGCCTAAAGGGGTCTTCTTGGGAGTGTGTTAGGTGCTCACGCCAGTCTAACGTTAGAGATGAACACTTACCGAGCACTTGGCAGCAAGATTCAAAATCCAAAATCCTCCTCAGGGGGCAAAGCTTGCTGGTTTAGGGCATACAGGGGGAGTGTGTTGCAATTTATAAGTGAAGAGATAATTCAGGAAAAGAAAGCAAAATACATTTTGGCACTGTTTTTCTCTTTTAGCTTCTCTCTAATGCTGGGCTTCCCTGTCTTTTTTGTTTTCCCTAGTTTTTTTCACTCGTTTTACCTTTTTTCTCTTGAGTTCCCTTCCTTCACATAGCAGTTCCTTTCTACATTTCGTTTTCTTCCCCTTGCCCTCTCCCCAAGCTAATCCTCTGCACTAGCCTGCTCAGCTCTTCTCATTTCTTGGCGGTGCAGCTGTCCCCCTTGCCTTCTCCAGAGAGCTGCTCCACACCATGTGGCCAGGCTGGCAGCTGCTGGAGCTGCTGGAGCTTTGCTGTTTACTGAGATGCACCCTAGTAGAGCCTGAGAGTGGAGCCGTAGGACATGAGCAGTCTTGTGCCACTGGAGCTCTGGCAGGATAACATGATACTTGTCAAGAAAGATGTCTTCACATCTCTTGTAATGCTGCAATGGAATTCCCTTCATCTCTTCTATAAACAGGGTATTTGTACTGTTTCCTTGGTTTGCTCAGCACCAGTTTATAGCCTGCTGCTGAATTGGGCTTGCTCATATTAATTATTTGTACTTACTTATCCTCCTGGAATACCAAAGCATGATTGTGCAGGAAACTTTACACCCACAAACAAAAAAAGGCAACTCTCTTGCCTAAAAAAGAAAACAGCAGACAGCTATTTGGAGAGATCACATTAACTCCCCCTGGGCTGACGTGGCAGCTAAGTGATGAGTAGGAGCTGGTTCATAAGGTACAGAGGAAGTTGTTCCCTGTCTCTGGGGCTGGCCGTGGGCACCTTTTGAGTGCTGGAATGCTCTTGCATTTTCTTTTTTCTTTTTTTTCTTTCCTTTTTTTTTTTTCTTGGTGTGTCTTTAAAGGCATACAACAACCAGTTCTGTCAGTGTTGTTGTTTTTCTTTTTAAAAGGCAATTTCTTGCACCAATTTCTCTGCTTCTAATATTTATTTTCCCTCTTTTGACTGCTGCAGTTTGCCCACTTTTGCCCTTCCTTCTGCAGATCCTCACAGCCTTACAGCCTTGCTGCTTTTCCTTGTGGCGCCTGCACCCCTCCATGTTCCTCTCCCCTGCTATTGCCTCCTTCCTCCTCCCCAGCTCGGGTCCCTCCTGCTGCTGTGCCTCTCTGCTCCTCTGCTTGGCAGCCTGCAACAAAGGAGGCAGGGAGAGGCAGGAAGTACTGTTAAAAAAAAGGAAAAGTCACCCTGTATGCCCTGTGCCAAAAGTGCTTCTCTTACCCTGCAGCCAGCTTAGAAAAAAATGAAGGGGGATGTCCAGAGGGTGTCCCAGCAGGAGAACATCCCCTCTGCAGGGGATGGCTGTGGGGTGCTTGGGGGGCAGGTGGTGTCCCACAGCCCGTGCAGGGAAGGGGTCTGATGCCAGCACACCTTGTGCTGGTATAAAACTATCTGAGCCAAAGTTCAGGTGAAGGGCAGCCATGGAGCCAGAAAGTCATGTGGCTCTCATGTTGGTTAGTATGTCACTTTGAACAGCTCTTATCTGATATTATTATGACTAACCCAGTGCTGACAGCATGGAACAGATTACAGGAGCCATGTGATGATTATTTAAGGCATCGCTGAGTATAACACGCGGCTAATATTAACCCCTTCTTTCCAGAAGAGCTCTCTCACCCTGTGAGCGACACCTGCAGCAGGCACCTGCCCTGCCCTGCCTGGGAGCACTCCCTCGCCACACTTACCTTGGCTGCTCTATTTCAGACAAGGCTATTTTTGAATCATTCCTCTGTTTCAAAGTGGCCTTACAGTTCAGAGCAGTTCTCTATGGTTGCTCTTTTATTATTCTTTTTTTAAATTTTATTTTGTTTGGTTTTTCCTCCTTTTTTTTTTTCCAGAATATGAAGGATCAGCTATGACAGGTACCCGTATTTCATATTTCCTGTGTCAGCACGTGCCAATAAAATTCAGAAGCCTTTTTGTTTTGTTATGGTTGATCTTTAAAGGTATTGAGAATGACGCTGAAGTCATAGCTGGCAAAATAGACCTCACTGTTCTACATAAATGTCAGCAGCGCCAAGGCAATGCGTTCCGAGCAGTAACAATTCGTGCACTCACAGTGAAGGCGAGGTGTGCACACAGACTGTACCCTTTAAACAGGCTGACACCTGCACCAGGCATTTCAAAAACAATGCAAAAAATGTTATATAAAGCATGACTGGCCCTGACTGTTCAGCCACTTTGCAGATGTGTTGAATGCTGTGTTGTGAGGATCCTCGGTGAAAAAGTTTGGGCTCCTGGTGGGGACTGGGGCCATGGTGTCTCCCCCTCATGAAGTAACGTCAAAGGTGTGAGAAATTTAAATTCCACACCTGGAAATCCTGGTCACATGAGTGGCATTACTTATGTGGTAACACAGAGGGTAACATTACACCAGCAGCTTCTGGAGTAAAAAGGGAAACACTGGTGGGATGGGGTTCACAGTGACCTCCCCACGTGGGCCCATGCGCCACTGGGCATGAGACACTCGCTGTCTCCCTTTGGGGGCTGCCTGCAGCCACCCTGTGTCCCTCCAGCAGGACCTGAGAGCAGGGAGCAGGGTGGTATAAATTTATCAGCTTTCTTTTGCACAAAGAGAAGATCGGAGATTATGAAATCAGTGTGTGATTTCAGCATTGTGAAAGCCTGGTTTGGTTGGGAGCCACGAGGAAGGCCAACAGAAAGGTATTGTGTGAAGAAGAAATCGTGCTGCTCCCCTGGCCCTCTCTTTGAAACCATATTTCTCTTCCTCTCCTGTCTGTGAAACCTCGGGGAAAAAAAGGAAGAAAGGTGGAGAAAGTCTGGAGCAGGAGAACCAGGTAGCAGCGCTTCCCTCCATTTCACCAAACCCAAGTGTGATCACAAGCACTACAAAACATGGTGGAGACTAATTACAGCTGAGACTCAAAAGGCCCATAAGCTTTTGGAAGGGAGTTAAAAATCCCTTAGATGGGGCCCTGAGCCCCCTTTGTTTGAATTGAAAACCAAAAGAAAAAAAAAAAAAACAAACCAAAAATGAGGTAAATAAAAGAGAAAGAAAAATCTCGGCTCTTCCAACAGCACATGCACAAGTGACTATGTTGGCAGAGAGCATCCATGTGGGATTTGTGTTGCTTGAGAGGTAAGCAGAATGACACACTGTGAAAGTGCAGGAATGCCTGTGCTGGTGAGGGGCTTTGTTCCCTCTTCCAGCAAAGCTGCAAGAGACAGAGCCTTCAGAGCAGGAAACAAGAGAACAAGTGTTTGAACTGTGTAACAGTAATAATCATAGTAGCTGTGACAGAACTGATTCCCTGTGAGCTTTAGTCAGTGCTTGAGCCCATCTCTCAACACACTCAGGCATGCTGGTCACTTTACCCTGCCTATCATGTATGGGAGCTGCTTCGTCTGTAAAACACAATTGATAAATTGCTAATGCACAGATTTGTGATGAGCTCAGATCAGTAATAGTTTTGCATTGCTTGGAGATCCTCTATTAGAAAGTGCACACAAGGCTAAATCATTACTTGTTTCTTTTCTTGAGCTGAATTACTCAGTTTTAGAAAAAAAACTATTTTCTGCAGATGCTCTATAAAATGTTTGTCCTAATGCTCATTTATCGTGACTGGCACTGATGGAACGGGTGCTGGTATGAAGCAGATGTATCTGTGTAATAGTTTACTTTGATGGCTCCTTTAAGAGGGTTCACAATCTTTATATTTTACCACTGGGTTTGGAATTTTATGCTCCTTTAACAGGTGTATTACCTTGATCAGATGTTTTCATTTTAAACTATTGACTAATGAGCACATGGCCTGCAGGGATTGATGTGCAGAAAATTGATTCCTTTTAAAAGATTTATTCTTATATTCTCTTTTTATTTAGTGTAAGAGTTCACTAGAAAACATAAATTATTGATAATGACAGTTCATGAGTAAAAATGCAATTAAACCCTTTGTCTCCCTTTGTCTAAAAGTAGAAAGAAAGCAGTAGGGATGGGAATACACATAGAAAGATCCAATATAAAATCAGACAGAGTTTTGTTTCTTGGGTTAACATTTAACAAACCCAGCTTTTAAAATGTTTCTTCTCCACTCACAGCCACTATTGTTTTTGTGCACTTTTATCATTCAAAGAGTTCAGGCTATTTGAAAAGGATGTGTACAAAGATTACCTTAAAATGACTCATTGTAAAAGCTCCCTACCTGATGAATTTGTCCTATTGGAATGAACATCTATTTTAATAGAATCCACTAAAAAAGCTCAATCTGTTCAGCCTGTGAGATGGAATGCAGTAGCAGAGTCCTGCCATGAAAATAGCTTGTGTAATCAGTGGAATATAAATGGCAACAGCATCTTGTACTCCCTTTTATGATGGTGGAAAGAGAAGGAATTCAGTGGGCAGCCATATGACCAGGTCCTGCATGACTGAGGAGCTCACATTTTTGCGTTGCACAGTATCTCGTGTGTCCAAGAGGAGGTAAATTGTTCCCGTGCCTTGTGACCAGAATCTCTGTCTGGAGGAAGAAGCAGAATAAAGGACCATTATTTTAGCAGAAGCATTAGAAATCTGTGTAACTGCTGGAAGCATTGATTCACAAAATATTTTCTCATAATTTTTCTCATATTTTCTTATCTTACCCTTCTGAAAGTAAGAGTGGGGAAACTGCTTGAAATAAAAAACCTGAATATATGTCTGACAGCTTATAGTTTTAAAGCACTGCCTATGCCGACAGAAGAGGCGTGGATATGACAATTACTGAAGGCTTAGTACCAGGATAAATTTAAAGCAACTTTATTCTAGAGTGAGCCTTCTGCATGAATGCATGACTTGTGTTGGTGCCAGTGTGGGTGGCATTTGTTAGATTCTGGAGTCCAGTCTGTGTTGCTGCATGAAATGAGTGTGATGGGGTCAGGTCAGTCCTTGCTGAATGATAATCCACATCATAAAGCTACTGTAAATGATTCAGCATGGTTTAGTATTATTTTCAGCCAGTGCCCAGGAGAGGCCAGGACTGAGCTAGCATTAAGAATGAATTGTCCATGCTTCCCACTCTTATATAACTGAGGGTTCAGGTCACAGCAGGAAAATGAACACAGCCTCTTTTCACAATGTAGATTACTTGTCTTCCTTAAACAAAGGTTGTGAACCAGGGTGGAGGCTTGGTTTTCAGAAAGCGTCTCAGGACTTCCTAGAGAAATTGAGTTATGTTTCTGCAAATTGACAGAACTTTTAGGACAGGTGCTCAATACCTATTATTTCAGCAGTGACCAGAGTAATTTGCCCCATTTTTGCAAGGAGTTCACATGTTGAGGTTGCAGCTTTTAATTTCTAAGTGGATGTAATGTGTTAGTTTAAAGCCAAGAATTCAATTGCAGACAGGTTATTACTGCAGTTGGTGAGTATTGTGATCTTTTTTCTTTGATCTCTTACTAAGGCACCTTTGCAACATTAATTTGATTAATTTGTTTGAGGTCATACCAAATTGCTGTGTTCTTTTGTTATTGCCCATAAAAGGTTCTGAATATGTTACTCATGTAGATACTTAGGTAGGTTTTTTTTAGGTGTTTGTAGAAGATTACGAAAAGGAAGGCTGGGATAGGAAGGAAGGAAGGAAGGAAGGAAGGAAGGAAGGAAGGAAGGAAGGAAGGAAGGAAGGAAGGAAGGAAGGAAGGAAATTTGCAAAAATCAGAAACTATAATTCTTAATTGTCTAAATTAATTTTTTAGAAGCTACAGTTAGGCTGGACTGATGTCTGTGTGATTGCTCTACTTCATTCTCTAAAAAGCAGCAATATTGTGGAGTTTTACTTACATACCAGGAAAAAAATAAAGCAAAGCTCTGTGTGCTTCAGACTTGGCTAGCGAGTCCAGCCAAGAACAGATGGAAACTCTGCCAAGAACTTTTTCATTGAAGAGTTTTCTTGAAGCTTTAAGAGGGGAAGATCAGAGTTTGCAGACAAAATTGCTGATTCCTGCTCAAAGTGCTACTCTTTTTCCTGCATGTAGGGCCATCTTGCAAATATGGGCTGGACGTCTGGCAAACGTAGGCTGGGTTCAGTGGCTGTGTTTGTCTGGACTACCCACGCATGAGGACCATTTGACTTGGAACTGAATAAGCATTATCTGCTAGGGTTTGTACATGTATTTTAGGGGTTTTACAGTCTTGGTGTTTGTCTTGCTAAAAGACCCTTTCAGCCTGCCCCTGAGTAGTAGAAGGTTCCATGTGGAAAGCTCAGTATTGTTCATGTTACTGTGTCACCATGGAGCTTAGTGTATCAGCTATAATGTTGTACTAGTCCAGGCCCCACACTTGAGCTCTTCTTGACCTATAGAAAGGTCAGTATCTTTTTTTCACCCAGTTTTTCAGCAGTTATATTCTCTTTACAAGTACAAATGTGCTCCTTTATTTGCAGACTTTTCTGTCCTTCCGGAATATACAACCATTTCAGAGGGGACTGTGTCCTAAAAGACTAAAAAAATAGTTTGTTTTTGATTTGGGTCTTTTTTCACTCTTTCTCATAAAGAAATGCCATGAAAAAGCCATGAAGATGGAGTTCATTATGTTAATCCCGTCTCTAAAAGCGCTGCTGTGCTGCGGGCCTTTGTTGTCAATAAAATGTCAAGCAATGGCATGTACAGCATGTTGTGCAGACTTCAAAATGCCGCAGCTGTAGCACTGCGCTGTGTTTTCTACACGAGAGCTGAGAAATATGGGAGGGATTAATATCAGGTGCCCAAAGTGTTAATACTGAAAACCAAAGAAAGAAAAAACCCAAACCTTACAAAGAGTTTTCTTCAGTGTATTTGTAAAAATTGGTTGTCATTCTTCATAGTTGGAAAGGCGTCTGTTTACCTCTAGTTTATCCAGGAAAGCTGGTGTAGTGGTTTGCCTTCTCAGAGGGGCAATATCCTTCCAAGTGTTCCAGGCAGTGTAGACCATAGTGGTGCTATAATATAGCTATAGCCATTAATTTGTCATGCTTGTGATAATATGGGAGGCAGGTGAAATACCAGAAAGCAAATTGCCTATTTTAATTCCCAGAAAAGAGACTTTTCTTCAGCACTGACCCACTTTATCAAATCATGGAATTCATGCTGTAAAGGACCTGATGCTTTTCTGGTACAAATGTGACCAGTTTGTAGGGATCCACACCTGTTGTGGGAAAGTCTGGCTGCAGGAAGGTGAGCCAAATACATTAATAATATGACCCTCACAGCAGAAGCCAACAAGGAAAATATTACGTTCCAGGAGATGTATTTTGTAGGTGTGGTGCAGAGACTGAAGGACAACACCCTTTTTGGTTCTCCCAAGCAGTGAAACAGGAAAATTTGCCAGTCTGGTCATGGGATAAGAGAGGAAAGACTGTGAGCAGATAAACTGCTCCTGACCTAATTCTGAAATAAATATCGTACCTTGTTTCTCAGACATAGTATTCTGAATTTTTTCATATTTTGTTTGAGGAGTATCACCATCTCTTCACACATCAGTGGTGTGTTTTAATGCCAAGCCTGTGTTACAGATCAGTTACTACTGATTTTCAATAGAAATTAAATGTATGAGAATGAAAACTGGCCATACTGTGCTAGTAAAACTTTTGAGACCAGTGACTTAGTTTAGGATATAAGAGGGATGAGGGTTGTCATGTGGAAGTAAGAGGGATGAGGGATGATGGTTGTAATCTCAGGTCATGTAGGAAGGTCTAACCTAATACCTGACCACAGCATTTTCATCTCTGTGCTGCTTTCACACTGATTTCAGTGACGGGATGGCAGAAGGAAGAGACACATTCCTGTTATTATTTGATATATGTGAGCTCCTGTGGCCTTCCCACTGCATTTGCCTGGACTGAGCTTTGCCATCTGCACCGCGGGCCAGGCACTCTGCTGTGCGACTCCATCCACCTCTCCCTGGAGCAGCCTGCTTAGGTTTCATATAATTACAACTGATGTCTATCTGAAAATATTGCATGTTATGTTTTATGGTCCTTTTTGACACCTCATGATAGGGTTTCTTACTGCAAATCACCATGTTCAAAATGTGGAAAGATTGCAGCTGTAAAATTAATTTCATTTGTATTTATCCAGGTGTGGGTATTAGGAGTCAACCAAAATCTTGCATCATAAATCCTCTTCCAGGAGAGAAGAGAAAAAAAAAAAAAAGTTAGTATCTGCATCCAGGCTTTCTCTTGTCTTCCAGGCTCTTCTTTATTGTTTTCCTCAAAATGCTGGTGCTGCCAGGTTCCTTACAGCTGTTCTCATTTTCTCTGTTTCTGGCTTGCTTGCCGATTCAGTAACTACAATAGTGTATCCTCCATCCTTTCCTCCTCTCCTTTCTTCCCTTGCTTTCCTACTTTCTCTTTCTCCAGTATGGGGGTAAGCAACTTGATAAGTACTTTCATCAGCACATAGGAAGGTTACTCTTGCAACAAGTTCTACATCCAGATATACTGTGACGAAGTGTTTTATCAAACATCATTTTTTTCAGTGTGGAGGCATATCTTCTTGTGTGCAGTATCAACAGAGATGCTGTCTATAAGGTTTGGGGGTGTTACAGGTAGCTCTGAAACAACCTGCACTTACAGAAAAGTAATCTTCTTCTTGGAGGAAGATCTGGGTTTAGCACAGGGAGCCAGAGCTGTTGACAGGGCTTTGGTAGGTGGTGTGGTCTGTTGGGCTAAGTTAGGCAGCAGTACAGGACTTTCTAAGAGTAGGTATGAGGATGAAGAGGTGCTACTTTTGCACAGAGCCCTTGTGACTCAACTGACATTTCTACTTGGAAGAATTCCCTTTTTAACGGTGAGAAATATTTTAGTTTGTCTGCTTGGCCCTCTGTGATATGTTCCTACCTCACACTAATGCCAGTCGTATCAGATCGTTCTAATTATAAATGTGACAACTCTGAGAATTTGGATTTTAAAATCCTGGGGGATTTATGGGATATTTTATAACTCCAAACCAGAAAAAGTTACTAATAGACTTAACCAGGTTAGAAGGTGGTGTTTTAGCCACAAAAGTACCTAGTCCACACCTGGATTTGAGCCAGGTCGTACATCTGCTATATATCTGAGAGAGGGAAACGAAAGTATCCTATGCTGTGAGATTGGTATCAGCAGGGTCCCCTGTTTCCAACCATGCTCATTTGCTCTAAGTCATGAAATTAATTAATGGAGAAAATTTCTTGTAAAATAGAGCAGCAGTTCTGATTTACATGACTTCTGTGCATTTGCAAGTATTTTTTTCCCCCTATGGCTAGAGCTGTATTAACAGGTTTTGTTCCAATAAATGAACTAACACGCATGTATTAAGCAGAGATCTCAGGGAATCCAGTCTCTGCAACAGCTTTGGCATTCCCTCCTGTTTATTTATTTGTACCAATGAAGATGCCCCCCTGCTCTGTGCCATCTTTCCTCCCCCCAGCTTAGGTTCTAAGCAGCCTCCTCAGTGGCTGCAGTGAATCAGCACTTCTGGCAGGCGCTGCCTCCAAGCGTGACTCCGGTGCGGCACACAGACCCCT